TTAATCGTAACTGTGCTACTGAAATTTAAGATATTAGCAAAATCTACACGGATATCCGTTAATTTTTATAAGAAACGTGGATCATCGCAATGGTTTGTTTTATTCATGCGTGAGTTTCTTATTACACTCGTCGTTCGCGCACTACCAAAGCGATCAACAGAGGTGATTGTAAATGGATATAAACAAGGTCATTTTTAAAGGAACTTCTGACAAGGAATGTTAAAATGACATTATTTGGAAAAGAACTCCAGCTCATCAACTTCCCGTTGATCGCAAAGAATGTAGGTGAAAGTGGGCTATTAATACAGGTTAATAGGGGAAATATTACCAAGAAAAATTAAAATTCAAAAGGGTTTCCTGGTGAAATGTATGTATATATGTATTTGAAATGCCAGGCGTTTTGATAATTGTCACTAGCCCTATAGCTGACTTCGGGCTTCACAGAGGGGAGAAGCATCAAAGTGGGAATAATTCGAGAGGAGGGACAGAAGAGGGATTCACGGATGTAAGAGAGACAGACAGACACAACGGTAGAGAAAAATCAAGATCAGTACTGTGGAGTGGTTTAATATGACATAATATCGGGTCATCGTAGTTAGAAGTCAGAAGTCAACTGCCGGTTAATAGACTTTTGCCGTATGAGGATACTTTGCCCAGGGTGCACCACGTGGAAGTAAGTCTATCTCACACTCCTTGCTGGTGAAATGACTTCATAATGACGCGGTGTAAAATTTCCCTGTTTTGGTGAAATCACAAATGCAGATGGAGATGCTAAGTAAGACTGATTCTGAAAGATACAACACGAATGCCATATTCTACAACAAGCCAATGCACTCACAAAAAAGCAGTGAAGTATTATATATCACCGTTATCCAATAATCATTTGATCTTGAGGTGAATTGCCATGGAATATTTGTGGGAAGAACATCGAGATTTAAATTTCCGAACGTGCAACAGTGAATATTCACTAATCAAGAATATGTGGAACAAAATTCCGAAGACAAAAATAATAATATTCCACAAATAATCTTTTTTGAAAAGGCCTACAACGACATAAGATTTTAAAATGCAACAATCCATAACCAAAATATGAGATTTTCGTGGTATCCAAGTTGCCAGAAGAGGATTAATTGTTTAGTAACTTCCGGTTATGCGTAAATATTCTATTTTAATAAATATTTTAAAACATGATTGAATTTCCTTATAATAAATTTGATCTAAAATATTTGGCGAAAATTCTCGTTTCAGGGAGTGTTGATACAGGTGATGCTCAGCGTACAATTTCGGTAATTGAATAGAGACAAATAGTGAAGAGAAGATTTA